TCCTTCATTCCACCAGTCTTTACTGGGCGCAGAGGATGTGCCTCGCCCTGCATGAGGCCTGCGGTGCAGCCACCAGCTCGGTGGAGGGGACAGATGTCAGACTGATAATTACATAGGTGGGGGTATCATTGTAATTGCTCAGAAGAGAAGTGCGGGTTCTTTGAGGGTGTAAGTTGAGGGGGCCCAGCCTGCTGTGGGGTGGGGGGACTGAGGGTGGGCTAGTCAAGGAGAGCCTCTCAGAGGAGGTGGCACTTCCACCGAGACATAGGTGCTGCGAGTCTTGGGTGGTGGCAGAGCTGGTGCACAAGCCCCGGCGTGGCTGGCAGAGGGGGTGGCCAAGATGGACGGTGGCCATGGAAGTCCACAGGGCTATGAGTCTTGTGCTAAGCTTTGGGTACTGTCCTGAGATTGACTAGAAGCTACGAACTGGAGAAGCCTCATTTGACTTCTCAGACTCACCTGAAAGGTGAGAGGCAGGTGGCAGTTTATACAAAGATGGGGACATGTACAGTCAAGGGTGGGGGAAGGTTCGCACTGGAAACAACCAAATGTCCATCAACAGGAGAATGAGGAAATTATAGTATATTTATATAATGCAATATTATTACTAATCTATGGTGAGAGCAGTCAACATAATGGTTTCCTTTGGGGGCCAGGAAATTGACTGAGTAGGGACACAAGGGGATTTTTGACGGGAACGTTGGTGCACATATAAGTAGAAGTTTATTGAGCCAAACACTAGATTTCTCTTTTTTACTGCCTGTAAATTATATTGTAATAACAAAAAAGACAAAGAAAAAAAATCCACCGTAATGCGAGGAGTGAATTCAGCCCTTTGTCCTATAGCACTGACGCAGTGGGTGGCACCTGTTCACGCCTATGACCGTGGGACTGGTGCTGGTGGCCCCACTAGCCGTCGGCCCTGGCAGAGCAGAGTCCACGCCTGCCGTGTTCACTCTGGTGTCCCCTGAGTGTGCGGAGCACTGTTGGGTCGTCACAAAGCTCTGTACAAGATGACACGGGAGCCTGCCGACTCTGGTTGAGGGTAGCGGTGCTTCACAGAGGAGGGACATGTAAGTCACACCCTGAAGGCTCTTAGGGACTTTTCTCAGGCAGAGTAAAGGACGAAGGGCACGTAGGCAGAGCAGCCTGCGTGTGCAAAGGCTGGGAGACAGCAAGAGCCTCACGTGCCCAGGCAGCCTGTTGTGCTGTAGTGGTAGGAGCCTTGTCTAGTGGTGGTAGAAGGCGGTGAGTGTGGAAAGGTGGGAAAGGCCTTATTTGCTGACCTGAAAGGTTTGGTCTTTAGTCTATGGGAGCCATGGAACATTTAGAGAGAGGGCAGTCACCAAATTGGATCTGCCTTTTAGAAAGTTTGTCAACTGGACCCTGTCGGCAGGGGCTGGAAGTTCTTCATGGAGGTAGGAGGTGAAGCTCCCTCAAGTTCTTGCCAAGACTGGCAGATGGGCCATGCATGCTGAACCTGCCTGGGGCATTCAGGGGGTTCATGGAGCTGAGCCTTGGCCCTGTGGGCTGGTGAAGCAGCGCCACCTACTGGAGTAACCCGTGCCTGGCCTTGGCCATCTGGTTGCTTTGCAGCCTTCTGGTGCCAGGGTGGCAAAGGCCAGCCCCTCGGCCCTTGGAAAGAGAGCCTCTCTCGGGGGTGAGCTCTCCCTCCAGTTCAGGGGCCCGAGATCAGTACTGTCATGCAGATGTTAGGAGGAAAAATATACTAAATGGACTCAAACTAGTGTTACTGGGCCCTGGAACCAGTTCTACCTGGGTTCGGATCCTAGTTCCTTCTACCAGTGTGACCTTCTAGCAGTGTGACTTTGAGAAAGTTACTTAACCTCTTTGTGCCTTAGTTTCCTCATCTGTAAACTGGGGATGATAATAATAATAATGGTATCACCTCACGGTTGACGTGAGTCAGTATATAGAAACCACTCACTAGTGTCTGGCACATGGTGAGTGTGTAATTGAAGCATTTATTATATCTACTATTGTTTTGTATTGTTATCATCATCATCATTCCAGGCACGGGCAGAATAGAGAATGCCTGGTGCATCTGGAGGGCTCGGGGCTGGCGGGTGAGGGGCAGCATGTGGCACAGGGGGCTGGACGGGGCAGTGTCAGCTGCAGAAGAGCCAGCACATGTGGCTAAGCAGCTCGGACTCTCTCCTGATGACAGAGGGGACGGCGGAAGGGTGTGGGCCAGGAAGAATGAGGTCAGGTCTGCATTTTGCAAACCTGGCATCGATGTGTCCCTTTCTGCTCTCAGAGCCTCACGCCTGGCATCCTGGTCTCCATGGTAACATCATCATGCAGAACAGGAAATGGGCTCAGAGAGGTTGGTCCAGAGACCAGGCTCCTGCCACAGAGCCTGTGCCCTGGATGAATTCTGCAGTTTTTCTGGTCTCTCTTAGTCAAAAGAACAATCTCATTTCAAGAATTAATTTTACAACTGCCATTTTGAGTCTAAATTAAAGTTCTTCCCCTCTCCCAGCCGGCCTGCTTCAGGCTGGGAGGTCTGTGGCAGCAAGAGGAGCTGGGGCCCCTTCTCTCTTTCTTGTCGTCATTTCTCACTTGAAGATACTGATTAGGGGCTCCCTAGGGCAGGAGGGGACAGGAGAGTCTTACTTGGCCGATACTGTTGCCATCCGGCGAGGGGGCCCTGAATGTCACTCCTGTGAATGGCTGGCCCCTTCTCGGGCCAGGCGTCGTGCATGCCCATCCTGGGTGTCCCCACCTTGCAGGGCCCCTCTGGCGGCCCACTCGTGACCTTGCCCTCAGCTTTGGTTTTCCCAGGAATCCTCCTTGCTGCTGGGTCACCTCGATCCAGGTGCCCCTCTTGCAAGTCTGGCTTCCTTTCAGGCGTGCTGGGGTTCCATATCTGGCCAACGTCAAATACACACACACACACACACACACTGCCACTCTGCTGCTGCTTGTCCCCTTCAAGCTGGAGTCAGATTCCCACCCCTACTCCAAATTCCTGGGGTCTGTGTCATGTTCTCCCCAGGGTCTCTTGGGACAGGGGGGAGCATCTGAGTCCCTCCTTCTAGGTATCGGGGTGGGGTCAATGAATTCTCTAAAAACTCCCCACTTGAGGTGTTGCACCCCCCAGCCCCCGTGGATTCATTCTTCACTGTCTCTCTCATGCCCTGAGGGCGGAGAGGGCTGAGCCTGGCAGAACAGCCTTCACAGGAGGGGGCGTTTCCTGCCTGGCTGCTCCAGCCCCTCCAGCCCCTCACTTCTGGGCAGTGGCTTTGTGGCTTTGTCCCCAGTCTTGGGGACCCCTGCTGAGACTGGCTGGCTGCATCCTGTTTTAGCATCCTGAGACACAGCAATGAGGCGTGCATGTGAGTGTGACAGTGTACAGGACAGTGAGTGTGAGTGTGTGCGTGTGTGAATACTGAGGTGTTGTGAGTGTGCGTGTGAGAGTGTGTGCTTATGCAAGTGTGTGAAAATGTGTGTACATACATAAGTGTGTGTGAGAGCAAATGAGAGTGTGCAGAGGTGTGTGTGTGAGTGTGAGATAGTGAAGATACTAGTGTGTGTTTAGAGAACACGTGAGTGTGTACATGAGTGTGTGAGTGTTGAGTATGTTCGTGACAGTGTGAGTGAGCGTGGATGAGTTTGTGGGAGCATGTGAGTGAGTCTGTGCAGGTGTGTCAGTGTGAGAGAGGGTGAGCGTGCACGTGTGTGTTCACACGAGTGTGCATGTAAACATGTGCATGTGTGTGGGTGTGAGTGTGTGTTTATCACATAGACAGTGCATTTGTGCTTCTTGGACCTCAACTCATCAGCACACCCTCTGTCTCACCAGGTCACTTGGGTGAGGAGAGGTGGCCATGACGCTGCTGCTCTGCTACCCCCACCCCCACCCCACCTGCCCAGGGCTCCCCAGGGGCTCCCAAAGGCCTGGGCCTGTGCCCAGCCCGTAGCTGTGGGCACCTCTCCCGGCCGACTGGCTCCTCCCGAAGGCTCCTGCCCCAGCTGTGCACAACCACACCGCCCCCACGTCTCCAGGGGCAAGCCCGTTTGCCTGCATGTTTGAAACATGAGAGAGGTTTTTCTTAAAAAAGATAAATTAGTGTAACAGGATTTTTCAGATTTCAAGCCATATTTCTGAAATGCAATTCATGACTCGTGTGTTTTCCTGTCAACGGTACATCTCCCGACGTCACGCCTGCTGCTACCAATTAATTCATAATTTTTCCATTCACCGATGAAGTTGCTCGACGTCAGCAGATTTAAACTCTGTGAAGTCATGTAGTTTTTGTCTTCAAGGGGATACTGTGCAAACTCGATCAAGCAGCAAAGTTATAATGATGCCCACAAAGCAAATAATAAAAGCTGAATGTATCCCCCTTGTGAAATTTGGTAACACGTTTCATGTTCACTATTCTTGGAATGTGACAAAATAGTATCCAACTTATTTGTAAGAAAAATATCAAAACTGCAGGAGTGCGAAGCTTTACCCCGGGATCCACGGCATTTCATGGGAACTCTTTTATTCCTGCATGAGTCCCCTACAGTATTCCAAGTTTTCACTGAAGTGTCTCACTCGCCCGAGAATAGGAACTCAGTTTTATCAACCTATGACCACAGTATATAGCACGCAGTGGGTGCTTGATAAGTGTTTGTGGATGAATCAACCAAAAGAAATAATGACTGGGAAAAAGACTGGACTTAGTGGATAGAGGGTGGTTGAAAATTGTGAAAGTTCTGATAATATTTTTGTTTTCTTTGTTCATTATCTTGGTCAGCGTGCACGACATTTTCCCAAGCAGTGGCCATGAGTAGGAGAGTTCTAGAAAGACAGAGCTGTAAGGGGCTTTAGATTGCAGCCGACACAGAGGTGGACCGTGGGCTCCACTGCCCGGGGGCCTTCCAGAGCCCTGGGTGGGCACACAGGCTGGGCCGTCTTTGCAGGAGTGGGGTCTGGGGGCAGGTGGGTGGCAGGAGCTCATGCCCCGCTGAAGCTGTCCTTGTGTTAGTTACAGGACTCTGATCAGACCCACCTACAGAGTGTCCTACCGCACGGTGACGGCGCTGGAGTGGAGGTGCTGCCCTGGCTTCACCGGGAGCAACTGTGATGAGGGTAAGTCTGCCAGGGCGCAGGGCGCAGGGGGACGGGGTGCTGGCCCAGGTGGCTGCCGCATTGCTGGGCATCTCTCCCTCCTCTCCCCTCCTCCTGCAAGCAGGTCTCCTTTCTGCCACATGTGCTCATAGCTTGAACTTCTTTGTTTCCCAACCACCTCTGAACCAAATGCTCTGGACTGGCCAAACTAGGGTGAAGCTGGTTTGTCACTAGCCCAAGTCACTGCCTGAGCCCCTTTCAATGATCAGTAAAATGGGCAACGAGTTGAAGTCCTGGGTGGGCTTACCTCCAGGCTTACCTTCCAGGCCTTGCTTCCAGAAGCCTCCTCTCAGCATTACCAAGGCTTCCAGGCCCTTCTCTTAGCCCCGAGCTCAGCTGGCTGTGATCGCATGTGTTCCTCTTGCTGCCACCAGCAGCCACTTGCGGCCCTGCAGGACTGTCCCATTCTTGTAAGAGTAACTGAGGCCAGCCCGAATAGGGGCCCTGTCTCCTGTCCTCAAGTTTGAGCATATATATTTTTCATCTCTCTTCGTGGTCTCTTTGTTGAATAAATGAATACTATGAAATGAAGTGTGGGTCTCAAAATGTTTAGGGCATAATTGTTATGCAGCTAGATAGTGAGCACTGTTTTATTTACATGTTTTATGTAACTCCCTGAAGGAGTGAACCAGAGGATTAGAGAAATGGATATGTGTGTGTCTACACACACACACATGTGCACACACGTATTTGTAGATTGGGGTCCCCAAGGTCACCCTAAGGTCTGATAACCTGCTAGAAGGACTCAGAGAACACACTGAAAACCATGACTGTCATGGTTGTGGGTTATTATGGCAAAAGATTAAATCAGCCAAGGGAGTAGACACATGGGCAGAGCCCAGGGGGCTCCAGACATGGAACTTCCATTTGTCCCCTGCCAGTGGAGTCTTGGGCAGTGTTACTTTCCTGACAGTGACGTGTGACAGTACACACAGAGCATTGCCAGCCAGGGACGCTCACCCGAGCCAGAGCGTCTACTGGGGCTTGGTGGCACAGGCATGGTGGCAGCCCGCAGTGCTGACCTCAGCTCCTAGCTCTTCTGGATGTTGAGCCCGTACCATGTGGCCCAAGGACTCCCCCATGAACTGTATCGTTAGCATGAACTGTCCAACGTGGCCCACAAATCCCACGAGAAATCACATCATTAGCATAGACTGCAGGGCATGGCCCAAGGCTCCCTTGTAAACAAAGACGCTCTGATCAGGCCACATCAATATTGATTATCAATATATAGTCTTGTGTCGCATAACGATGGGGATACGTTCTGCGACATGCATCAGTAGGCGATTTCGTCACCTTGGAAACGTCCGAGTGTACTTACACAAGCCTAGATGGCGCAGCCTGCTACGTACCTGGGCGATACGGTCTAGCCTGTTGCTCCCAGACTACGAACCTGAACAGCACGTTACTGTACTGAACCCTGGAGGCAGTTGGAACCCAATGGTAAGTATCTGTGTATCTAAACATATCCAAACATAGAAGTACAGTAAAAATACAGTATTATAATCTTATGGGACCACCGTCGCATACATAGTCTGTCCTTGACCTAATGTCGTTATGCAGCGACTGTACTCACCAGGCACATCTGGGGTTTCTGGACTAATTACGAAAAGTTGCTGGCACCTCTGAAGGTGCCGTCAGCCTCAGAGCCTCTGCCAAAACCCCTCCCTCCGGTGGAAGAACCTTCTGGGCTCCCCACCTTGCTTAGGATGCACGTCCACCTCGGGATGCGGGATGAGGCTGGCCTCTTTCAGTGGGCGTCAGGGTTGAGTGGCCCTTCCCAGCTGTGAGCATGAGGGTCCTGGAAGCCCTGGGGTGGGGGGCTTGGCAGCGGAGGGATTCCTGGGAGTGTGAGCCTGGGCTGAGTTTGGGACTGGCTCCTGAAAACCCTTGTAAAGATTTTACATTCCCAAATATAAACCAATAAAGACAGCGGGCTAAATCAAGGCCATGCCCATGACTTTAGGCACATTCCTAAGATGGTTGTGGTGGGTCCTGCACCATTAATTCCCCTTCGCTTCCTCCCCCCCCCCCAAGCACCGCAGGCCAGTGACGTGCTGCTTAATGGGTTTTGTTTTGGTTCAGAGGAGGTTCCCCTCCCTGGACGCCCCAGGAGTGCATGTCTAAGGCTGGGCAATACTTTGCTTCATATATATGTCTATATACAGTGGATTTTAATTATTTGCAGATTTTGTGTTTGTGAATTTGCCTACCCACTAAAAGTGATGTGTAACCACAAAATCAGTGCTCACAGCGGTCATTCGAGGATGTGGGCAGAGCAGCAAAACCTTTTGAGTCACCCGACGCACGTGTTCCCAGCTGAGGTCAGACAAGGTGACCCTCTGCCTCCTTGTTTCAGCTCTCAAACTGCAAACAAGTGTCCTCTTCTTGGTCTGGTTGGTGTCACATTTTTGTGCTTTTTAGTTGGTGACTCTGTTGTTTAAAATGTCCCCCAAGCGTAGTGCTGAACTGTGTCTAATGTCCCTAAGGGCAAGAAGGCCATGATGTGCCTCACAGAGAAAATATGTGTTAGAAACTTTGTTCGGCCATGAGTTGTAGTGCTGTTGGCTGTGAGTTCAATGTTAATAGAATCAACAATAGATATTTTTAAAGGTGTCTTTAAGCAGAAACACACATAAAGCAAGACCATGTATTGGTTGGTTGATGAAAATGTGATTAGAGGCTTGTAGGACCCTAAACCTGTATTTTCCCTAGAAGCAAACGCTGAGTGTTTGCTAATGCAGTGTTCATGGTGACTTTGTAGAGCATAACTATTGTCAGTAACCAGAATCAACTACATCTGTGCATCTATCTGTATATACCTAAAAATGATTTTTTCTCACTATAAAAGTGAGTACATGTTCAGTGTAGAAAGAGTGGAGGGAAACACCCACAATTACACCTCTCGAGGTAAGCTCAAGTCTCACTTTGGTGAAAAGCTTCCAGACCTTTCCCTGTGCTTGCATGTCAAATGTACTGTGCATGCCGTTTGGTAACTTTCTTTCTCGAATAAGTTACCGCGAACATCTCTCCTTGTCAGTCGCCTTTTATAATATCATTTTGAGTTGTTGTGGAATTTGGGCACACACACACTTTATTAACTAAACCCCTACTACAAGATATACAACTTGCTTCCAATTTTTCAATAACATTACTGTAAACATCTAATCTTTTGTATATGGTTTGTTTTACTTAACATAATGTCTTTGAGATTTATCCATGGTTTACACACATGTCTGTAGTTTATTTGTTTTGGTTACTAGGTATTATTCCATTGTGTGAATAACCACCATTTTGCTAGGTCGTGATGTACGCTTAACTTTATAAGAATCAAATTGTTTTCCAAAATGATTTTTCCATTTTACACTCCTACCAGTAAAGTATGTTCCAATTGCTCTATATCCTTGCCAACATTGGTATTGCCAGTCTTTTTAATTTTATCCCATCTAGTGGGTGTGAAATGGTCTCTCATTGTGATTTTAATTTGCACTTCCTTGATGACTAATGATGTTGAGCATTTTTTTTGTATGCCCATCTGATACGCTTACCAGCTATTCTTATATCTTCTTTTGTAAAGTGTCTGCTCAAGACTTTTTTGCCATTTTTAATTGGGTTGTTTAATTTTATAAGAAATAGTCAAATGGTTCTCTAAAGAGTTTTTAACATTTTTCATTCTCACAAGCAAAGTCTGTTCTAATTGCTCCACATTGCCAACATTCAGTGGTGGTAGTCTTTTTAATTTTAGCTATTGGATATGGAATGGTATATAATTGTAATTTCTTCTTTGTTAAGACTATTTTGACCACTCTAACTCCTTTGCATTTTTATATAAATTTCAAAATCAACTTACCAATGTCTATAAAAAGTGTATGTTGGGATTGTGGTTGTGATAAATTTATAAACCAACTTGAGGAGAATGGCTATCTTAATAATGTGTCTTCTGATTCATGAACATAGTATAGCTCTCCATTTATTTAGGTCTGCTCATTTTTCTTAGCTCTGTTTTGTAGTTTTCAGAGTAGAGGGCTTGCTTGTCTTTTCTTAAATTTATTTCTAAGTATCTTATATATTTGGTGCTTTTTAAAAAATGAGATTGCTGGCCAGGTGTGGTGGCCCACATCTGTAATCCTAGCACTCTGGGAGGCAGAGGTGGGAGGATTGCTTGAACTCAAGAGTTTGAGACCAGCCTGAGCAAGAGCAAGAGCGAGACCCCATCTCCGCTAAAAATAGAAAAATTAGCCAGGTGTCGTGGCACAATCTGTAGTCCCAGATACTTGGGAGGCTGAGGCAAGAGGATCACTTGAGCCCAGGAGTTTGAGGTTGTAGTGAGCTAGGCTGATGGCACTGCACTCTACCCAGGTGACAGAGCAAGACTCTGTCTCAAAAAAAAAAAAAAAAAGAGAGAGAGAGAGAAAGATTGTTTTTTAAAATTTCATTTTCTGAATTTTTCTGCTGCTAGTATATAGAAAGATACTTAAATTTTAAAATATTGACCTTATATCAAGAGACCATGCTAAGTTCACTCATTAGTGCTAGTAGCTTGTTGCTAGTAGCTAATAATTTGTTGATTCCTTTGGTTTTTCTATGTAAACTATCAGGTTCTCTGAGAATAGGGCCATTTCTGCTTCTTCCTTTCTAATTTTTATGCCTTTCATTTCTTTTTCTTGCCTTATTGGACTGGCTAGAACTTTTAATAAAATGTTTAATAGAAGTGGCCAGAGCAGACATGCTTGTCTTATTTCTGGTCTTAGGGAGATGTCTCAGTGTTTCACTATTAACTATGTTGTTAGAAGTAGATTTTTCCTAGGTGCCATTTATCAGATGAGGATATTTTTTCCTACATATGTTGAGAATTTTCATCATGATTAAGTGCTCAGTCTTGTCAAATGCTTTTTTTGTATCTATATTAAGGTGATTATAAGTCTTCCTAATCTTTTCCTATCTTAATGTGGCAAATTACA